GGTCGAGGTACGTCCCTGACAACTTGTGGAATTCCCCTCTCCCATGATCCCGCATACGTGAACGGTGAGGGAGGGAGCAGCAGGATGGACACTTGCTCTACTGCCAGGTACGCGTCCCCATGGGGCACAGCGTAGGGATGCTCGGATGGAAAATTAAATTCTCATCTTAATGTGAGACTACATGCTGGATTACCGTGTGGAATAGGAGTTCCTACAGTGTGTCCTTCTAGGGTATTGAATTTCTCAGTGCCTCATCAAAACAGAAGGCGCTGGGAAGGTGATGGGTCCCAGGTGCAACCCGAGTGGGCAGTGCATGGAATCCCGAGTACCCAATTATTATACCTGGGGCGTGACATCTCTGATATTAGAAAATATATTTATCCCATCTGTGACCCCTAAAAGACACCAATTTGTCTTAGAAAATCTGACCTGGCAGGTACATGTCCTAAGCAATTGGACCAATCGGGCCTTTGGGGAAACGAATGTACAGATTCAACAGATGTCTAAAATGACTTTGCAAAGCAGATCAGCCTTAGATATGTTATTGTTAAAAGAGCAGGGGGTATGTGGAGTGTTAAATCTCACTGATGGAGAATACTGTCTCACCATACATAATGCAACCGCCACCACAGAAGCAGCGCGACAGAAGACGAAAGAGGTATCGGAGCAGACCGGAGAGGTTTTCCAAGCGATGCAGCTGAAAGACTGATTTGATGGCTGGAGCCCTGGATCTTGATTCAACTCTCTCCTGAATTCACTGGGACTAACAGGTTGGGGAAAATGGCTTTTAAATATTGCTATGATGTTGGGCTGTGGATTCGTGTTCTTGATGATTGGCCTTGCCATTGTAAGGTGTATGATTTCGTGACTTTTATCTTCTCTATCCTCTATCCGTTATGTGACAATCACCACCCTGGATGAAGATTATATAGACGATGTTTGAGCCACGGGGTGGTGCGAGAGACTGAAAGAGTTAGCGCCTCAAACATTGCGGCACAGGGCTCTGCGGTCTGCGTGGCAACGGTGGGCGGTGGGCTGCAGGCGAGCGCAGCGGGCG